TACCTTATTTTAAAATGGACATTTCCATACCTCTGAAGCCCTGGAGATCAAACTAGAAACTGTACTAAGATTTTCAAAACTCTCATCTTTCTGGACTAGCAGTAATTATTAATGCAGAATCAGAGCATGCAAACCAGTAGGACTTCAATCACAAAAGCAAACATTAATCAAGTGAAAGTAGCAGTAATTATTAATGCAGAATCAGAGCATGCAAACCAGTAGGACTTCAATCACAAAAGCAAACATTAATCAAGTGAAAGTAGCCAATCATTAATTAAATAGCAGCAGGATAGTCAATCCAGTGCAATTATTCTCCTGAATATTAAGATCTTTGGAAAATGAATATTTCAGAGAAGAAAAATGCCATTCAAAATAAATGTTCTCTCTTCTACCTCATTTCAATTTCCTACCATTTCAGTGCTTGGATAATTTCCCAGCACATTTTAATCTATCTTATCATGACTGATAGCTTTATAGTACGTATACACACCCCTCAGCTAGATATTTTGCAGTGCTGAAGTGCTCAGTAGAAATGAAAGGATCAAGTCCCTTTGGAAAAAGTATGTAATATAAGAAGTGTTGTAAACCCTGAATTTGCCCTGAATCATATATTATTTATTTGATTTACTCCCCACTATTCTGCTCAAACTAGCCTTCAGAACAGCTCAGAAAATTAAAAACACACCAAAAGTTAACCACATCAATGCTAAGAATTAATTTAAGACGAATTTAGAGATTTTCTGAATGTTAGGAGAATAGAGGGTTAATGCATCCTAAAGGAATGCGTTCTATTCCCTGACAAACCCCCAGATACAAAATTGAGACACATTAGAGTCAATATCCCATTTTGTTTTATGGTTTTAATTGCTTTAATTGTAGATCTGGATGTTGTAAGCTGCCCAGAATCTGTTGGAGTGGGTGGCCATAATAAATTGAAACAATAATAGCAACAACAATAAAAATAGGAATCTCTGGAAAGATTGGGGTAGAAAAATCTTGTCCAGATTTATTGAAGAGCACAGAGAACACAGAGAACTCATATTTTCATTCATTTTCCATTTAGGACATTGGGGATAACCTCTATTCCTCTTTTTTTCATGCCTCCTCTTCTCCTCCAAGAGCTGAAACACTAGGGCAAGTCAGAATAGCAGTGGTATATTCTTCCCATCTCTTCCTGGTGGGAAGTAAAGAAATAAAGTATGCTAAGACCAAAACCTACTCCCAAACTCTTAAAAATAGTCTTTTCCCATTTTGACATCCCAGTGTCTTTGGCTATATGTTCCATCTTAGTTGTAAACTCTGGCCATGGAAAGGTGGCTAATCTGCTACTGTGGATGTGACTAATGAAGCTTAAAAATCCAGATTTAGAGCATCTGCCTATGAAGAAAGATAGTTCTCTTTCCAGAGGTTTGTTAAAAACTAGGTTAATATGTATCCCAGGAAGTCCAATGCCAACTAGGCCTAGGTCAACTCAATGAACTCAACATATTTATCTAAGAACAAGCAGGGGGATGTTCAGATGTGGCAGATAAAATGAAATATGGAGATAGCTATTTCAAAATGCACTATTGGAAAGTTAAAATCTTAAGAACAGTTTGCTACAGAAACTTACCATATGGATGTGAGGATCACTGGACACTTTGCAGTATGATTTAGTCATGATTTTTTGTCAGTCACCTAAAGATAAATGAGGATTTCAGAGTCTTATTTCTGAAGAGGCAACTGCTGGAGAGGAATTGGCAATGTAAACTGATCCATCAGTAGCTTGACCTCATTTTGTAGTCTCAGTTACTTTAATCCTATGCCCACTTCACATAAAAGCTCTTTTTTTAATGCTGTGGTGATTTTGCTTACATCCAGCACAGAAAGCCACCCATTGTGGCTTAGCAATTATATGCCACCCAAGCCATCATAGCTTGTTCAACCAACCATGGTTTAAAAAAGTGAAATTAGTGCTAGGCAAAGAAATTCTCATGTATGCTTTTCTATCAGTTCTTATTCGAGTTGATGGAGGAGATTTTGCTTTCGAAATTCCTTTCAGGAAAAGAATTTGGGTGAAATTCTCATGGGTGGATGAGGGCATGTTCTTGCATGCACTTAGTTATGAACTGGCCAAGAATAAATGGCTCTTCTTTCATTGTAACATCATTTCTCCACTACTGCAGTCTTTTGGGCTTCCTGGTTACCATTTAATCACAAGGAAAGGCATCCAGAAAGGAACTCCTTTCATTGGGGGATTGATTGATTGATTGATTGATTGATTGTTTGATGGGGAGGGCAGGCTTTTGTCCGTACTGTCAGTCA